TCCCTCCCTCCCTCCCTCCCTCCCTCCCTGGCCCAAAGCCTGCAAGCCCCCTCCTCTACCTGAGCAGCAGCACTGGAGGTCCAACAGCCCCCCCCCCTGCTCCCCCCCCCAGTCCAGACTGAATCGTCTTGGCAATAATTCCTTGAGGAGAGGAGGGAGCAGAGGGGGCCTGGCAGGGGTCCAGGTGCCCCCCCCAGCCCTGAATTCTTTGCACTGAAGAACAGGAGGAGAGGTGGCATGTGGGGGACACTTTGGGCCCATGGCTGCCAGCCGCAGACTCGGGCACCCTTCCCTGCCAGATGCCCAGCCAAGTTCCTGAGCAGAGGTCTGGGGGGCAATTCAACAGAGACAGGACGAGGGGGGGGTGGAGGCAAGGCACCTGGGGGAGGAGGAGGGAGCAACCCAAGAACTCCACTTCCTCTTGCTGGGGGGGGGGGAATTGTGGGGGAGAGCCAAGATCCCACCAGTTTCCCTTGGCAAGACTCGGCTCTCCCACCCAGGCCGGCTTCTGCTCTGCTGCTTCAGGGTCTTTGCGTGGCCATACCCTGAGTGGGGAGGGTCCCTGTGGGATGCGGGCACCCAGAGCCGGGCAGAAGGGGCTCCCACACGGGGCACGCAGTCTGCCAACACCGCAATCCAGGAGGCCAGAGAAGCTCTTGGACTGGCTGCCATCCGCTGGCCGCCTGCATGGAAAAGCACTCTGCACATGTCCAGTTGCCCCGGGCTCATCCAGATGGAGACAAGTCGACAGGCGCGGAGACGGCAGGGAAAGGGCCTCCGATCAAGGGGGCTGGAAGGGGCGGAAGCCCCTCGAGCGCCCTTCCTCGCCCTCCCGGTCCCTGCGGAGCCGCTCCGACCCCCGCCCTCCCTCCGCGACCCCAGGCGCGCCCCGGACAGCGGGGCTGGGGACACTTACTGACCGGGCTCCCGAGACGAGGCAGGGCCTGGGAGCCGCTAGCGCGCGGCGCGTCGGGGCTGCTGCGGTGGCCGCTCCATCGCCGGCTCCGGGAAGCGCTGGCGCCTCCTTCCCTCCCGGCCAGGCTGGCCGCGGCTCTGCTGACTCCGGTTTCAGTGCTGGGGGGGCGGGGGGGCGGTGGCGGGCGCCGATTGGCTGGGGAGCCCGCGAGGAGGAGCGTCCGGCGCCACAAGCACCGCCCCCTCGGCGCGCCTCCCCCGCCCTCCTGCTGCCCGGTCCCTGCGGGGGCGAGGGGGGGCTCGTAACCCTCTCTCGGGAGCGAAACTCGGCCGCCCCGCCCCTCCCCTCGGCGCGGCCTTGGCCTGGGGGCCGGAGCAGGTGGGGGCGATGCAGAGCGGGAGGAAGGGGCTTGGAGGCCGGACCTCCGCCGACTGGCCGGGAGCAGAGGCTCCCCTCGGGAGTGGAAGGACGGCCGTCTCCCCCCGTGCACCGGGGCCCGGCCAGCCACCCACATCGGTCCAGCCTCGTGCCGGGATCCCCCGGCAGCCCGTCAGACCAGCCGCCTTGGCCAGATCTTCCCGTCGCCCGCCAGGAGGCGGCTGGAAAGACCTGCTGAGCCTGTTTGGGGAGCGGGAGGGGCCGGCTGGGCTTCCCTTTGGGGAGACCGTGCCCCTCGGGTGGCTGCACCCGCCCCACAGCGGCCCTTCCCTGCCTGCACCCCGCCGCCGGCCGCTCGCTGCTGCCCGGCAGGAAAGTGGCCAAGACTGTTTCCCCCCCCACCCCCCAGTGGGGAAGAGGGACCCTAGCGAGAACAGCCCGGTGTCCCAGGGCTCTCCTGGGCTGCGCTGGGCTCTGTGATGCTCGCCTCCCTCCCTCTCTGCCCCTTATGGGCCCTCCACTGTCCAGGGTGGCCTCTGCCCGGCCCGGCCCATTTGCTGCCCACCCCGGTGGGGGGGGTAGGACTGGCTGGCAGGGCCCCTGAGGCTGATGTGGGTCTTGCCTCTCCCTAAGGTGACCCAGAAGCCGGCAGAGGAGAAGGCAAGAGCTGCCGAGGGGAGGAGGAGAGGCACTACCGGCTGCAGGGTCAGCTGGCTGCCAATGCAGGGGCTCGAAAGGGGGACTTTTATTCCAGCCCCCTCCCCGTCCTGGGAAGTCTTAATCCCACTTGTTCAATGGGAGATGGAGGCTGTGGGGAGGTCCCAGCGACTCTGCCCAGGCGCCTGCAGTGCCTAGAAGGACTCAAAGGTGGTCAGAGGGAGGCTGGGAGGGAGTTGGCAGCACAGAGGCCTGGGGGGGGGGCACATCCCGAGAGCGGCACAGGCAGCCTGGCGAGGGCAGGGGGCATCTGGGTGGGGGCTCTGGCCGTTTCTCCAATGGGCTTCTTGTCTCACAGGCCTCTGATCCCGCTCTTTGACCTCAGCTCCGGCCTCCTAGTTCTGGCTGGGAAGGTAAGTGCCCACGGTCTCCTGGGGCCTCTCCGCGCAGGTCCACCCGCCCTGTGGGAATGGAGGGCAGGCAGCAGCAGCAGCAGCCACTCAGGCAGCCGTTCTCTTCCAGGGAGAGAAGGGGCTTTTCTGCTATGAGGTGCAGCCTGCGCAGCCGGCCGTGGTGGAAGGTGAGTTCCTCCAGGCCCAGCTCGCTCGCCCAGGGTCCCTGGGGGTCGGGCGTCCCTCTCCCCCTCCCCACTCACCTGGCTCTGCTCAGTTCACCAGAGCTTTCTGGAGACCCGGACTCAAGGGGCGGCTCAGGTGCCCAGGCTGGCCCTGGACGTCACAGCCTGCGAAGTGATGAGGGTCTTGCAGCTGAGCGACTCGGCCGTTGTGCCCATCAGCTACCTGGTGCCCAGGAAGGTAAAGCAGCCAGGCTGCCTGCATGGGAGGAGGTGGGGGCCTCTTCCCTCTGCAAGCCTGATTCACCCCCAGCCTTTCTTGCAGGCCACACATGAGTTCCACAAAGACTTATTTCCAGACTGTCCCGGAAACGTCCCGGCAGCATCTGCTCAGGCCTGGTGGGCTGGGGACAATACGCAGGTAAGGAGGGCTGAGCTCTCCTCAGTCGGTCACACCCAAGATCTTCAAAGACACCCCCCCCCCAGCCATTCTGGACTCCACAAGGACGTGGCTCATGGCAGCTTCTACCGCTGAGCGCCATCAAAGCATCAGGCCTCTCCTGCCCACAGGGCTTCTCCTGCTCTGGTCCTCCGGCCAGCCTTGACCCATGCTCTCGATTGTCCTGCCCCATAGCGGCACCCTCCTGGGCCTTGGCTCCTCTGGCAGGGGGTAAACCTTTCCTCTCCTTGCTGCAGGTGGAGCTGGTGAGCCTTGATCCTGCCCACAGGGCCAGCCCTGGCTTCCTCTCCCCCTGCCTGCCTCGCCTTGACCAAGACAGCCAGCACCCGCCCTCCGCCCACGTGGAGGCAGGGGATCAGGCCAAGCATCCGGACCACAGTGTGAGTGGCCGTGGCTGACAGGGCACCTGGCCCACTTCCAGGGTGCGCTTGTCCCAGCTTCCTCTGAGCAGGGGTGATCTGGGCATGCCCACATCCCTCCCCTCGGTGCACCGGCTGACACACAGCATTGCTTTTTGCCAGGTGGGCAGCAGCCTGTCCTCTCCTGGCAGTTCCTTGGCATCTCCATCCAGCGTTGCCCCATCTCTCCCTGCCACCAGTGGCTTTTCCTCCAGCCCAAGCCAGCGGTCCCTGCAGAATATTCTGGGTAAGGGTCTGTGGGCAAGGGACAATGCCTGGGCTTAGCTGAGGTGTGGATGCTGTGGGGCGCAAGGAAGATCCACGGGGCAGCCCCTCCCTCCCAGCCCCACTCATCCCATGCCTTCGTCCCCAGGCCCGAGTTCTGCCTTCCGGCACATCGAGGGGGTCGTCTTGCCTCGCACCACCCACATCACCAACCTGCGAGGCTTGAGCCTCACCACTCCAGGGGAGTGTGATGGCTTTTGCGCCAACCAGCATCGCATCGCCATCCCACTGCTTGCCACAGGTGGACAGGTGGCCATTTTGGAGGTGAAACGCCAGGGTCATGTTCAGTGGTCAGGGCCGGCCACAGGTTGCTGGGGGAGGGGGCTTCCTCTGTCTTGGCAAAGGAGGAATGGCCGAGGGCCTCATGCCCATGGCTTCCTTCCCTGTCTCTGAAGCTCTCCCAGCCAGGGCGACTCCCTGACACCCCCATGCCCACCATCCAGAATGGGGCACCTATCTCGGATCTGTGCTGGGATCCCTTTGATGAGCAACGCCTGGCCATTGGTAGGGACCAGGGGCTCTCGGAGCAAGCCTCTCTTCGGGGGGGGGGGCACCCAAGCCTTTTGGGCTCACCGAGCCCTGCCACAGGGCCGTGCCCCACCAAGAAGGTCCACGCAGCTCTTCCTTTCTTCCATCTCTGGTGCAGCTGGAGAAGACACCAAGATTCGGCTATGGCGGGTTGAGCCCACCGGACTGCAGAAGCAGCTGCTGGAGCCAGAAGTGGTCTTGAGAGGTCAGCCCCCCTCTCTCCCCCCCCTCCTCCCTGTGGCTGCCTTAGGCAGGATCGGCCCAGGGAGCCTGGCGCTGCTCTGAAGGCGGCCCTTCTCCTCCTCCTCCTCCTCCTCACGCCAGGCCACACAGAGAAGATCTACTCCATCAAGTTCCACCCTCTGGCCTCCGATGTCTTGGCCTCCTCCTCCTACGACAAGAGTGTCCGGATCTGGGACGTGCGCACAGGGAGGCAGGAGCTGGGACTGCAGGGCCACACGGACCAGGTAGGGAGCACGACGGCCTCTCCAAGGACACCCGAAGTGGAGCCAGCAATGCAGAATAACCAGCAGTGAAGCTAACCTGGCAGCCCTGGGCCCCGCCAGATGCAGCGCCCACGGTGATGGTGGGGCACGCGGTCCATCCCAGACGTCCTGGGGAGGGCTGGACGCCCTAATGGAGCGGCTCGGCATCCTGGAGCTGCCTGTTTCTCTCGGCCAGCCTGGGGGGGGGGGTTGACCTGTTGTTCCTTTCAGATCTTCAGCCTGGCCTGGAGCCCCAATGGACGCTGCCTGGCAACCGTCAGCAAGGATGGCAGAGTGCGAGTTTACGAGCCTCGGCAGGCTGCCCATCCCTTGCAGGTCAGGGTGCGGGCAGGCTCTCCCGGAGGGCAGCCCCCCCCCCGGTGTCCCAGAAGGGCCAAGAGGGCAGCCGCAGCGTGTTCTCTTCCTGAAGCATCTCCCCCTCCTTTGTGCCCTAACAGGATGGTCCAGGGCCTAAGGGGGGTAGAGGTGCCCGTGTCACCTGGGTCTGTGGCGGCCAACACCTGCTGGTCTCCGGCTTTGACAGGTGAGGCCTCCCCCTCTGCTGTTTCCCGATTGCCCGCAAAAGCATGGCCGGCCCCATCTCTTTCTCCCCCTTCCTCTTTCAGCCGCAGCGAACGCCAGCTCTCCTTGCACCAGGCCGAGGCCCTGGCCGCTGGACCTCTGGCCACCATCGGCCTCGACGTCTCCCCCTCCACCCTCATCCCTTTCTATGACGTGGACACCAGCGTGGCCTTCTTCACAGGGAAGGTGAGCCACGATATCCTGCCGCTCGGGGGGCTTTGGGGTCCAGGGAAGCAAAGCAGGCCATCCGGCACCCCCCCCCCTGCAGTATCCTTGGGGTGGGAGGGGGGAGAACACAAAGAAGGTGGCTCTTCTTCTACCTCTAGCCAGGCTGGTGTGTGGCGCCCGGTTCCCCACTCAGGTGGATTCAGCTTCTGCGTTTCTCCTGGCTGGGCTGAGCCTTCCCGTGGCGCTGGTTTGGCCAGAGGCTGGCGAAAGGCTTGGGCAGGAATCCCACTCTACCTCCTCTCTCTTCCGGGAGCCTAGGGCGACACCAGGGTCTTTGTCTATGAGGTGGTCCCGGAGGCCCCCTTCTTCCTGGAGTGCAACAGCTTCCTCTCCTGCGACCCCCACAAGGTGAGGCATCTGCTGGGCCAGAGAGCCAGAGAGAGAGGGCTGGGATGCTGAGGAACCCTTTCAGGCTGCAGCCTTTACGGACTCGCTTTCTTTGGACGCTGGGAGGGCCGGAGCCTTGCGTAAGAGGAAAAAGAGTGGGGCAGCTGCCCTCTGGCCTGCCCCCTCCCCACCCCAGCACTGGCAGAGCATGGGTGGGCATCCCGGAGGGGAAGAACTTTGGGGCTGCCCTTCCCTCAACGCCTGCTGGCCTCTTCCTCTGCCCCGCCTTTGATCAGCCTTGGACAGTCTGGGGCTGCCATCTGGTGGGCTGTCCAGGGCCAGAGCAGCCACACAGCAGAGAAGAGAAGAGCTTTTGCAAGATCTCTGGTTGGGGAGTCCTTCCTTGCAGGACAAGGGGGGGGGGAATTCAATGTCCCTCCCTCTCTCTCTCTCTCCCTCTCCCTCCCTCCCTCCCTCCTTGGCTCCTCCAGGGCTTTCACTTCCTGCCCAAGACGGCGTGTGATGTGCGGGAAGTCGAGATTGCCCGGGCATTGCGCCTCCGGCAGAGCTCCATTGAACCGGTGGCCTTCCGGGTCCCCAGGGTCAAGGTAGAACACCAAGCCTTGGCTTTTGGGGCCGGGTGTGTCTGTGCGCGTGCGTCTGCATTCGGGTGGGGGTGGGGGTGTCCGGGTGTGCGTTGCTCAGACCTTCGGTCCACCCTGCAATTGGCCGGCTTCAGTTCAAGGAGTCCGTCAGTCACAAACTCCGAATGTCTCTTGGCTTCCCATCTCATTTATTTGCTCCAAGCCCCAGAAAGGCTCGTGTGGGGAATGTGGCCTTCCATGGTGGTCACTTCAGGGTCTGTGACTTACCTTTAGCCAGAGCTGTCCATGAAAGGGCCCACCCCCATCTCCTGCAGCTGCCCGGCAGCTTTCTTCAAGGGGGGGGCTTCACTGGAGGCCCCCACTCTAATACCTCACCTCCCAGTTCAGAGCCTTTCCCGCCCGAGAGGCTCAACATCGCCACGGAGGTGCTCCAGCTTTTGTGCCCAGCCTCTCACCAGCCACGGGTCATTTCCTTCCATAGAAAGAATTCTTCCAGGACGATCTCTTCCCGGCCACACAGGTGTGGTGGGAACCTGCCCTGCCAGCCACAGCCTGGCTGAAGGGCGCTAACAAGCAGCACCGAATCACCAGCCTGCAGCCCAAGGACATGACCCCAGGTAAGGGGGAAGGAGGGCTCAGCTGGGAGGGCTGAAGGAGTTCAGTGGGCCTGAGAATAAGGGGCTTCCGTTGCCTTCCCCCACGCAGTGAGCCAAGCGCCCAAGGAAACCCCCAAGCGGAAATACCTGCCTTCCTCCGTCTACCTGGAAGAGAAGTCAGACGAGCAGAAGAAAGAGGAAGTGAGCCTTCACGGCCTTTGATCTTCTCACACTGGGGGAATGGGGGGGGGGTGTTCCTCTGCCTTGGGATGAAGAACCCCCCCCCCTAACGCCCATTCTCTGCAGCTGCTCAGTGCCATGGTGGCCAAGCTGGGGAACCGAGATGACCCCCTCCCACAGGACTCCTTTGAGGGTGTGGATGAAGAGGAGTGGGTAAGAGGAGTGCTTGGAGGGTCACACTATTGCCGGGGGGGGGGGGTAGCCTGGCCGCTGCCAGCTTCCAAAAGCCCAGGGAGATCCGACTCCTCTCCCTCCCTCGCTCTCTCTCACACTGGGCAGGGGGGGGAGCTGCTAAGAGTCGCCTAGCACCAAAACTCTCTCTGTGGAGGGTCTTTCACTTCGGAGGGATGGACTTTGTCCCACTACCCACTTCAAGCAGCCACCCCAACATAGCTCAGCCCGTCTCTTATTGCTCCATAGGACTAGCTGCAGACGGACGCTGCCTCTCTGCCCGCAGCCCCCTCAGAGCCTGGGATGGAAGGAAGCGTCCCACTCGGGCTGCAGGCTGCTCCCTGCCGGTTGGCTTCTCCCCACTTGCTGCTTCTGCTCGGGGGGGGGGGCTGCCCTCCTGCTGGAACAGGGACTCGGGCCACCTGTTTACAATCCCCCAGCGAAGGCCCACATCCTGAGGACAGCCACGGCTTCCCCCCCAAACGGGGGCCCTCCTTGGCAGGAGACCCCCACTCTCATCTCAGGCTGTGCAGTGACCCTTCTCGGCTGGCTGCTTTGAAGCTGGTGGGCCAGTCGGCCAGAAGTCTTCCATGGAGGGTAAACTGCAAGCATCCTTGGGGCTCATTCGTGGCCCAAGCGATTCCAGGCTGGCATCCTGAAGCTGGAGAGGCTTTTGCTCAGCAGCCTTCTTGGGAGGAAGCTCCTTTCTCCAGCTGATTCCACCTTGGGTGTAGCCCTAACATGAACCCTCCTTCTTCCGTTTTGGTGTCTCCTGTGTCTTCTTTATTGCTCCTTGCGTGTGGCTTCCCAGCCAGAGGGATGCAGCCCCACGGCTGCCTCTTCCCAAGGGGCGCTCTCTGCTCCGACTTCCCCCTGAGGAGAAGAGGCAGAAGCTCTCGGGAAGCTGTCACTGCTGTGGAAGGACTAAAGGGGGGGGGGGGGGCAGCTTCTCACTACTTGGTGGGGAATCTTCCCTAAATTCATAGATCCCATTTCCCCAGTTCTGCCGGTCTGGCCAGAGTCCGAAAGCAGCCCCAATCCCCGGGGGAGGGGAGGGGGGGAGGCAGAGAGGTCCTTTCTTTGGGCAGCAGGGGGGATCTTGTGCCGGAGCTCCTGCCAAAGACCCCCCACGCCAGGCTCACCAGCCCCTTCGGAGGCAGCTTCCCCCTGGACGCGGTCAAGGGAAGCCCCGCTCCTCCCGCCCCGGGCGACTTGGGCACAGCTCAGGGCCCCGCCTCCCGGGCAGGTGAAGAGCCGGATTTCTCGGGGAGAAGGATGACAAAGCCTCGCAGCAGCTCCCGGGAGCGGCTGGGCCGAAGCTTCCCAGGGTGCCTACAGGGCGGGAGGAGGCAACGCGGCCGCCTCTGAGCGATGGCTAAGCACGAAGTCGCTGCGCTCCGGATCGCCGCGGCGGGGCTCCCGAGCAGTACCCGAGGCTGCCACTGGGGATGCCCTCGCGTGCGCCGCCTCACCAGGCGCTCTGGCCGCTCACCGCTGCTCCATGGCTGCTTCCGGGACGAAGGGCCGCTCCTTCCGGTCACGCTCCTGCGGGCGTCCTGAGCTCCGCTCCGCGCCGGACATGGTGAGGAGGCGGCGGGGGGCGAGGCGGGGGGCGGCGGGGCGGGGCGGGGCGGGGGAGGCCGCCTGACCGCCGCTGTCTCCGCAGGCCAAGTACCTGGTGCAGATCGTGCTGGTGGGCGCTCAGGTGGTGGGACGCGCCTTCGCCCGAGCGCTGCGGCAGGAGTTTGCAGGTAAGGCGGGCCGGGGGGCGGCGGGGGGCTCCGCGGGGCCTCGGCCGTTGGCGGGACGCTAAGCCGCCTTGTCCCCGAGCAGCCAGCCAAGCGGCCGCCGATACGCGCGGGCGGACGGGCGGCCAGTCTTGGGCGGCCTCCAGCCTCTCCGGGATCAGCCTGCAGGAAGCCCAGCAGATCCTCAACGTCTCCACGCTCAGCCCGGAGGAGATCCAGAAGGTGGGGCGCCTTCTCGGGCGCAGCCGGCGCAGCGGGGCGGGTCGGCAGGGCTCTCGGGCAGCGGCCCCTGCGCGACGCTGGATCTGACTCGGCCTTCTCCGCTTTTCTTCGCTAGAATTACGAGCATTTATTTAAGGTGAACGACAAATCCGTGGGGGGCTCCTTCTACCTGCAGTCCAAGGTGAGTCCAAGCGCCGGCTGGAGCCTCGCTGTGGCGGCGCTTTAGGCCAAAGGCTTCTCTCCCTCCCTCGCGCCCCCCTTTTCCCTGGCCCAGCGTTTTCAAGTCCTCCGGATTCACCGGGATTGGCGGCGGGGCATCCGGATAACCTTGGGAGGCTCCCTGCCCCCCAGGAGCTGCTAAAGCCTCCTGCGATGTGGCCAGGCTTCTCCTGCAGGGTGCTGCCCTCCGGTGGCTGCTTGCCGCCCGCAAAGCGGGTGGGCTCTCTGCCACACGAGTCTTTGGAGTGCCAACCCTCTGCCCTGCAGGTGGTGAGAGCCAAGGAGCGGCTGGAGGAAGAGCTGAGGATCCAGTCCCCAAGGGAAGAAGACTCGCCACACAAGCCAGGCACGTAGCACAGCGCCCCCCCCTCTCTGGCGCCCCCTCTAAATTATAGCTAGCCAATAAACAGCCCTTGTACAGCTGGTCTCGCATTGTCTTGAAAGGAGCTGCCAGGATGCAGGAGATCCCAGAGTCCCACCGCAGCTCAGTTGCTGAGGTTACAGGCGGCAAGGCTGGTTTGCCCTCCATTTGTAGGCAGCTTCCCTGGCAAAATGGCTTCGCAGCTGCTCCCTCCAGCCCAGAAGAAAAAACGTGCTTGCCCTTCTTGCGGCGAGAAGCCAGGCAGCCTCCCGGCCTCCGTGCAGAAGGTCCCTCGTGGCATTTCAGTTAAGGCTGGGAGAGAGACTCCTATGGTGGGCTGTCCAAGCCAGACGGCCAGAGTACGCCCAGAGAGGCCGGGCACCTGGCCCACGGCTTGCGGGACCTTAGTCTGACTGTCCAAGGCCAGCTCTGCTGCTGCTGCTGCTGCGGGGGGCCACACAGGGCACCAAGGCAGAGTGTGGACAGGTTTTGCTGTGGCATCCTGGCTTGTCTGGGCAGGAGAGTAGCTGGAGCCATCTTTTCTCCGAACGCCTCCCTTCCCACCCCCAGACGCGACGCGCACAGACTGACCGCAGAGATCACCAGCACGTAGCGAGCTTTTTCGCGTACTTTATTGTTCTTGTCGTAATCACCCTCTCTTCTGGAGGGCCCAGTTATAGCTTATCTTTTTCTGTCTTAAAACTATACTAACGTAAGAGAGGCAAGAGGAGGGCATCACCCCCAACGTGACCTACAATCAAAAGGCACTTAGAAACGGGGGGGGGGGGGACACTGGCAGCCTGCTTGCATCAGCTCCAGGGCGAGTTTGCCCAGGGGGTGCTGTGTGAGAGGGAGCCCCAGAGCAGGCATGCGTGTGCTTGGGAGTCCAGCTCCCCTGCCTGGGTGGTTCTGGATCCTTAGCACTGTGTGGGCCGCTGAAGGTCTGCCAGGAATTGTCTGCAGGTCCCTTGAGAGGAGGGGGGGGGAGTATATAGGGGGATACCCAGAGATGCCCTCGTCTAGGAAAGGCGGTTGGAAACAGAGTGACCCACCAATACAAGGAGGGCAGTCGAGAGGTGATCTGGGCAGCTGCGGGAGGAGCCGTGCGGTGGGGAGGGGAAGTGTAGAGCAAATGCTGCTTCTCTGCTGGGCTCCTGGAGCTGGAACAGCCGGTGGCAGGGCCTGCATCTTACGGTACGGGGAATGGGCCGTGTTTTTCCCACCCATCCCCAGGTCCCGGCTATCTCCTGGCCACTCGTGACAAGCGCATGGCTTCCTGCAGGTCATCTCGGATCTGCGTGAAAGGTGCCAGCTCGTCCAGTGCTTTCCTAAAAGCAAGGGAGGGAATCCCCCCCCCCCCCAATGAAGAGCTCTTGCAAAGGTTACAGGACGGCAGCAGCTGCAGCCCAGGACCCAGAGCACAGGGTTCATCCAGGGATGCTTCGCCACCTTCCCATCCTCACTGCCTCTGCAAGGCTGCTGCACAGCTTTAGTATAAGGAGCTGCTCATGGAGGGAATGGCTCAATGGTTCAGTCCCTCCGTGTCTCGTCAGCAGCACACGCCACGGTGTGCCTTGTCAGAGGCCTGGACCAAGCAGAAGCACCGGGCAGGAGAGGAGGGGGGCGGCCGAGAGAAGCTCTTCCAGGATTGGCTTCTGAACAGCAGCCAAAGGGGGGAGGAAAAGGCCTCTGGTGGTGCTGCTGCTGCTGCTGC